AAGCAAACAAACAAACAAACAAACAAACCAACAAACAAACAAACAAACAAACTAACTAAAGCAAACAAACAAACAAACAAAAGCAAACAAACAAAACCAAACAAACAAGAACAAACAAACAAACAAAAGCAAACAAGCAAACAAACAAACAAACAAACACATAAGTCAACTACATAATAATGAATCAATATCATGAAGTAGCCTAAGCTATATTTTAATATATAAGCCTATATATTAAAATATAGGAATCAATGTTTCATTTGAATTGTAATAATGTAATCATAATGTTACGTGTTTTACACACATCCGACATCTCCAACCTTTCAATGGAATCACAGCTTGCGCCACCAGAGGGACTGCGAGCTCCGTGCGTTCCTCTCTCTCTCTGTCTCTCTCTGTCTCTCTCTCTCTCTCTCTCAGGCTGGCGGATCCTCGCGCTCGGTCTGCAGTCAGTCTGATGCGCTGCGCAGTAACCCAGCAGAACCACCTGTGCAGCTCCCAGGACCCGTTAAGCTCCGGTGATGCTCCTCTCCTCCGGTGGGAATGTGTGAATGAGGACGAGCAACCCCGCTTTTATGTGATTGTAGCTATCGCAGCATGGACTGATTGTATTATCCACCATGGGATTATTGAAGCTGCTTGTTGGATTATTCTGCGCGGCAGCAGGTAGGCAGAGATATCGGCGATGATTATGATAATCATAATTACTTATCATAATCATAATTTCATTTATCTCCATGCAGCTGTCCAAGTCAGTAATCACTGATACAGAGGTGCATTCCGTGCTATCATCACGGTACAAAATAATTGGAAAAAAAAAAAGATATAATAATTTTTTAAATTTTTTATATCTAGTGCTCTTGTACAGCTATAAGTGATTTACAACACTACTGTTTTTATGTATTGTAGCCTATAAAGCGCTGTGTAAATAAATGACTTGATGAAACATGTAACATATAGGCTACAGGGTTCCCACGCGCACAGAAAACTGGAATTTTAGAATTCCAAGCCTGGAAGAGTCAATGGAAGTCACGAAAGAGGATGCTTTTTTAAACAGCCCTATATGCAGTAATTGCAAACGCCTGGAAAAGTGTTGGAAATGCATTGGTCTGAAGGCGTGCGTGTGTGAATCCTGAATGCTGTAATGTGCTTACCGATGTGAAATCTTTGTTTTAATGGTGTGTGCTGTGATTGTGTTGAAGTCGCTGCGTTCGGAGTGGATCCGGCGGTTCGGATCAGCGTTTTCCAAGAGTTCAGTCCTGCAGAAGGGTTCTCCGGCGTGACACAGGTGCAAGGTTTCCACGATGACACGAGAGCGTTCCTCTTCAAAGGTAAAACTATAATTGTCCATAACAACTGTGCATTTGTAAACGTGTGTTCAGGTCATTCAGGTCTTGTTAATACTATCGCATTGGAATGAAGCTTACTGACTTTGCTCATACAGGGTATAACAACTATCCACAAAAAAAAAAAAAAAAAAAAAAAAAAAATTGTGTGTTTTTTGGGGCCCCCCCCCCCCCACACACACACACACACACTCAAAAATGACCAGCCTACATAAAAATAGCTTGTAAATAATCAACTTATATTGTTGCAATTAGCACAGATTTTGTATTTTTGTACATTTTTGGCTTATTTGAGCTTATGCATCACAGTTTTCAAGTGAAAAAAAGCAGTGTTTACTTAAAAACTGAGGATTCAACCACTGGAATCAATCTTCTTATCAACTTGTTTTCTTTCAATTGGCACAGGTTTTGTATTTGTTTTTGGAGCTGGTTGACCGTGGGCAGCGTTGGGGTTAATCAGATTACTTTGATTTTTCTAGTAACTAGTAACACATTACTTTTAAATTTACAACAAAAATATCGGAGTTACTTTTTCACGTAAGTAATGCGAGTTCAATTGGGAAATTATTAATTTCACTTTTGGTGTGAAAGAGCCTTTACAGTTGCCAAAAATATAAGTTTTGAGGGTTTTGATGTAAAAGAAAATACGCAAACCCAGCCCAGGTGACAAAAAGTAATGCAAAAGTGATGCAATGCATTACATTAAAAAGTAACTAAGTAAAGCAAATATATACTTTTTTATGGAGTAATGTTGAAATGCATTACTTTTAAAAGCAACTTTCCCCCATCAGTGCCAATGATTGTTTCAATTAGCACAGGTTTTGTATTTATCTTTGGAAACGATTGGATGATCTGAATTTATGCATTGCAGTTTTTGAGTGAAAAAGTATTATTTGTGGATCATTTTGGCAAGGCTTACTCAAAAACGGAGGTGCATGAGCTCGGATATACAAAACCTGTGCTAACGGTCTCTTCCCCGTGCATGCACGCTGGTGTCCTCGTGGGTCCAGGAGGGGTGCGTAGAGGGACTCCCGTGCCGCCTGAGTTGTGAGCTGCCGGACCCGCAGTCCGGACAAGAACCGCACCTGTTACACAGCCGTCGGGCAAGGATGCTGGGCCGTCTAGTCCCTTCAAGCACCGTGGGCAGAGAGAAGGATGAAGCCGCTAAAAGAAGCCGCCGCTCCTTGCGCCCCGGATCGAAGAGTGGAGCACGTGCGGCCTCCGTCCCTTACCTGGACCCTTCCTTCCCGAACACTGCCCCACCTTCACGTACCCCGCAGCACGACGAGGACACCAGATCCCCTGTTTATTTTGAACACCATTTCCCCTTTGAACCCTTTATTCTGTCCTCGTGGGTCCAGGAGGGGTGCGTAGAGGGACTCCCGTGCCGCCTGAGTTGTGAGCTGCCGGACCCGCAGTCCGGACAAGAACCGCACCTGTTACACAGCCGTCGGGCAAGGATGCTGGGCCGTCTAGTCCCTTCAAGCACCGTGGGCAGAGAGAAGGACGAAGCTGCTGATAGAAGCCGCCGCCCCTCGCGCCCCGGACCGGAGAGGGGAGCGTGTGCAGCTGCCGGACTCTGCCCCTTACCTGGATCCTTCCTTCCTTCCTGACCACTGCCCTTCCCTTCACGAAACCCGCAGCACGACGAGGACACCAGATCCCCTGTTTGTTTTGGGCACTTGATTCCCTTTTTTCTGGACACTTTGTTTATTTTCTGTTAATAAACTGTGTCTGTCGTTTGCTCCTCCCGCGACAACACACCCATTAACGTAAACTACGGCAGAGCGCGTACACACCTCACGCACCGGATGCCGTGCGCGCGTACAAAGACAGTTGGACATAGTGGTGCATTAGAGGTAAAACATGATATAAATACTGTTGGGTTTCTGGCACAAAGCGATCGTTTCGTGTCTTAGGACATCAATGTGTCGTCACGAGCCGCAGGGTTTAATTTGGATTTGTCTGTGCATGTTTTTTTTACTCTCATAGATTTTGTTACCATTGCCATGCATTATACGACTGATAGACTGCAACGGTTAAAGTTAAAAATCATCAAATGTGTTCTACTGAAGAAACAAAGTTACCTACATCTTGGATGCCCTGCAGGGGGTAAGCAGATAAACATCACATTTTTATTTTGGGGTGAACTATCCCTTTAATGTCTTTCTTTAAAGTCAAAAAGTTAACACTTAATCAGTGTTCCCAGTCTTATTGTGAATGATTCACTGGTGTATGTTATTATAAAATAATTTTCATAATCTTTCATTAAATAATAGCTTATTATTTAATATTATTTTTTACATAAAATCAAGAGTTATTCATACATTTTCAGTTATGCAATACAAGTTTTTATTCACTCATAATGACCTTGCAGTTGGTTTAAACCCTTGATGATTTATTTAAATATATTAAAACTTTTTTTCTGTTGAAAATCTCAAACAGCATGTTTAGTAAATTAATTTCTGCACCAATAGTGACCAGTGTTGGGGGTAACGCATTACAAGTAACGTGAGTTACGTAATCAGATTACTTTTTTCAAGTAACTAGTAAAGTAACGCATTACTTTTTAATTTACAAGAGAATATCTGAGTTACTTTTTCAAATAAGTAACGCCAGTTACTTTTTTCCCATTTATTGATTGTAATTAATTCATCTCACTTAAAAAAAAAAACAGATTCAGTATTCCTCAAAATAAATAAAAACCATGAAATGCAACTCAGAATATGACGCAAACCTGCAATAATTAAATGGTAACACAAATATCCTTTAAGTATTTAATCCAATGATCCAATTCAACCATACGAATAAACAAAAATGCCTCTAGATAAACATTTGTGCTTCTTTAGTTTTTTTTTATTGCTGAAGTGTGCTGAACTTTCTTCTTCTGCATTCTACTGTACAGACGTGAATTTACTTTCCCTTCAGCTTGAGGCTTATTCATTTCACTTTTGGTGTTAAAGGGCTTTTACGTTTGCCAAAAATAGAACTTTTTTATATTAAAAACAAACAAGCAAGCCCTGCCCAGATTTGAAAAAGTATCGCAAAAGTAACGTAACACATTACTTTCCATAAAAAGTAACTAAGTAACATAATTAGCTGCTTTTTTAGGAAGTAACGCAATATTTTAATGCATTACTTTTAAAAGTAACTTTCCCCAACACTGATAGCAACACCAAAGGAAAGTGCAAAAATCGGTCAGAATGCAATTCCATTTGCTGCCACTAGTTGCACTGAAATTGCTCTTTCACTTTCAAGCCTTTCTTTAGTCACGATAAAATCAAAATTAATTCAGAACTCATGTTTCTGGTCTCATTATGACTGATTCATTCATTAGTGCACTTTATTATAAAACAATCTTCATAATTTGGCATTAAAATAATATCTTATATATTTTATATATTATTTTTCACCACCTTTTCACCACCCAATCAATTCTTCATGGATAAAATCAAGTTCCCCCCTCCTGTAATATGTGTCACATTCACTTTTAAGATGCAATTCACATTCAGTTCAATCAAATTCAGATTTGAATTCAAATTCTTGATTTTAGATCTTCCAATTTTAGATTTCTTATTATATTTACCATCTAATAAAATTCCTCATGAATAAAATGGTTTCCCTCAGATATGCTTCAAATGCATTGTGAAAATGTTTTCACTGCAAGTTACTCAGCAATTCACATTTAATTCAGATTTGAATTTACATTCTTGACTTTAGATCCTCTGATTTTAGATTTCTTAAAATTTTAACCATCTAATCATTTCCACATGGATAAAATCAAGGTTCCCTCAGGTATGTGTCACATTGTGGAAGTAAAATGTGTTGCAAACAAGTTTTCACTTTGAGTCGCACAGCAATTCAGATTGCAATTCAATTTAGATCTGAATTGACATTTTTGACTCTAGATCTTATTTTAGATTTCCTCACTTTTTCACTAATGAATTCCTCATGGATAAAATCAGGTTTCCCTCAGATATGCATCACATTTATAGAAGCAAAATGCATTGTGAACATGTTTTTAATTTAAGTCACAACAATCCACATTCAGTTCAGATCTGAATTCACATTCTCGACTCTAGATCTTCTGATTTTAGATTTCTTATCATTTTTACTATCCAATCAATTTCTTATGAATAATATCAAGTTTTCCTCAGATATGCATCACATTTACATTTACATTTAGTCATTTAGCAGACGCTTTTATCCAAAGTGATTTACAAATGAGGACAATAGAAGCAATTAAAATCAACAAAAGAGGAATGATATACAAGTGCTATAACAAGTCTCAGTTAGCTTAACACAGTACACATAGCAAGTTTTTTTTTAAATCATATAATAAATAAAAAGAAAACAGATATAATAGAAAAGGAATAGTGCAAGCTAGTGTTAGAGGCCTTCTTTGTTAATTGTATAATAAATAAAAAGAAAACAAATAGATAGAATATAAAAAGAATAGAGAAGCTAGTGTTAGTTTTTTTTAAGAAAACAAGTAGTTGGTAAATGAATGGAGTGCAAGTCTAAAAGGGGCATTTTTTTAAAGAGAATAGAATTGAAGAATATAATTAGAATGGAGAGTGCTAGAGTTAGAGGGTCAAATAAAGATGCAAAAGATGTGTTTTTAGCCGATTCTTGAAGATGG